ACAGAGCAAGGCCCTGTCTCATAAACACACACACACACACAAAACATTAACAACAACAACAAAAAACCCATCTGCTGTCATTCTTTATCTTTGTTCCTTTGTGTGTAATATGCCTTTCTTCTGTAGGTGTTTTTGATATTTTATCTTTATCATTGCTCTGAACAATTTTATTGTATTTTAATGTGCCTTTGTGCATTTTTTCTTCACATGTCTTGAACTTGGGGTTTGTTGAGCTCCTTGGATCTGCAGGTTTATAGTTTTCATCAAATTTGGAAAATTTTGGCCTACATTTTTCCACTTCTTTTTAAATCTCACCATCCCTTCCCTTGGGGCTTACTTTGTCATTAAGCTACTTGAAGTACGTTTTAATTTTTTGGAATAAACTTGATTTTTTTAGAGCAATTGTAGGTTTAGAGAAAAAAATTCACAGCAAGTTGCCATATTCTCCCTCTAGCCACCTTCTTCAATTGTCTCATTATTAGCATCTTACATTAGTGTGATACATTTGTGACAATTAATAAACTGATATTTATACATTATTATTATTAACTAAAGTCCGTAGTTCACATTACGTTTCACCGTATGTTGTAAGTTCTTTGCATAATGGCAGATATCCACCATTATAGTATCGTATCATACAGAACAGTTTCACTGCCTTAAAAATCCCTTGTGCTCCATCTGTTCAATCCTCCCTCCCTCCTGACTATCCCCTGGAAACTCCTGATCTTTCTACTGTCTCTCTAGTTTATCTCTTCCAGAATGTCAAGTAGGTGAGAGGGTGTACTATGTCGCTTTTTCAGATTGCCTTCTTTCACTTAGTAACAGGTATTTACCCCCATATCTTTTCATAGCTTGATAGTTCATTTTTTCTATTGTTGGCCAATACTTCATTTTATACTATAATTTGTATAATGTTAAAGAAAAACTGTAGGTGGACCCTGTGGCTCATTCCTGTAATCCCAACACTTTGGGAGGCCGAGGCAGGCAGATGGCTTGAGCCCAGAAAATTTGAGACCAGTCTGAGCAACATAGTGAGACTCCTCTCTACACAAATTTTTTTAAAAAAATTAGCCAGGTGTGGTGGCTCATGCCTGTAGCCCCAGCTACTTGGGAGGCTGAGGTGAGAGAATCACCTGAGCCCAGGAAGTTGAGGCTGCAGTGAGCCATGATCCCACCACTGCACTCCGACATGGACAAGAGAGGGAGAAGTCCTCTCAAAAAAAAAAAAAAAATTAAAAAACAGAAAAATGTTCTAACACTTATTAGAAAGATAAGGAAGATTATCTTCAAGTCTATTCCGGTGGGAGTCATCTATGATCACTGCAATAGGGAAGCGTAATTTGACTTCATATTCAACCAGGATAAGTGAGGGTTTATAGCCAGTGAACACAGTGAGGGGACCAGTGGGTGGAAAATTAGAAAGAGGAGATATCAAAGGTATGAGGATTCTTGCTAAACTGGCCTAACAGATTCTTGCTAAAGTCAGGTCAAACATGTATACATCAAAGATGGGACAGGAAGAACTTGATCAGATATCAAGAGTGATCAAGTATCAAGAGTAAGGGGATGATTTAGCAGGATTCTTGCTAAAGTTGGGAACCATAGACCAGACATGAAAAGCTAAGGTCAAGGACTCGTTGAGAGGAGGGCTCAGAGGAGCTTTTCCAAAGTTAGTCAAGGAGAGATTCTTTACCCCATCCACTCACATACTGAAGAACATCTTTCTTGCTTCCATTTTTTGACAATGATGAATAAAGTTGCTATGCAAATTTCTGTGCAGATTTGGATATTCTTTATCCTGAAGCATAAGGCAATCATAGGACACAACTTATTTCCAGTTCCTTAAGGCTTGCTTTCCTCTCCTGCCTGAGGTCCAGTCTTGAAAATGGTTGCTTCAGATATTTTGTCTGCTTTGTTTGTTGTTTGTTTTTTTTTAGCTGGTTGTATTAGTCCGTTCTCACACTGCTATGAAGAAATACCCAAGACTGGGTAATTTATAAAGAAAAGAGGTTTAATTAACTCATAGTTCTGAATGTCTGGGGAGGCCTCAGGAAACCTACAATCATGGCATAAGGCACTCTTCACAGGTGGCAGGAGAGAGAATGAGTGTCAGCAAGGGAAATGTCAGATGCTTATAAAACCATCAGATCTCGTGAGACTCACTCACTCTCACGAGAACAGAAAGGGGGAACCTACCCCATGATTCAATGACCTTCCACTGGGTCCCTCCCAGGACCCATAGGGATTATGCAGATTATCTTCCAAGATGAGATTTGGGTGCAGACATAGAGCCAAACCATATCAGCCTCAGGACACTGGTTTTTGGTTGTTTCAGATAAAAGGGTAAGTGTGGCTCCTGCACCTCCATCTCGGCCACAAGCAAAAGTTCTATTCAAATGTTAGAAAGCACCGTTTGCGGTCGGACATGGTGGCTCACACCTGTAATCCCAGCACTTTGGGAGGCTGAGGTGGGCAGATCATGAGGTCAGGAGATCGAGACCATCCTGGCTAACATGGTGAAACCCGTCTCTACTAAAAATACAAATCATTAGCCAGGTGTGGTGGCAGGCGCCTGTAGTCCCAGCTACTCGGGAGGCTGAGGCAGAAGAATGGCGTGAACCTGGGAGGCGGAGCTTGCAGTGAGCCGAGATCGTGCCACTGCACTCCAACCCAGGCAACAGAGTGAGACTCCATCTCAAAAAAAAAAAAAAAAAAGAAAGAAAAGAAAAGAAAAGAAAAAAAGAAAAAAGAAAGCACAGTTTGCTAAGGAGAAAACAATCATAAGAAATCCACTGACTTGCCCAGGATCATGCGGCTGATTGCTACTTGCTATGTAGCAAAGGCAGCCTGGGTAAGGAGCAATACTGTCTCAAGTGGCCCACCTGCATTCCAGCCCTTAGAATAAGCAAGAAAATATCTTACGTTAGAACTAGGATTGATGATTAATGACACATGATGAGTAAACCTTCCTTCAATTGCTAGCACCCAGACCTAGGTCAAAGTTTCTGAAAATTAAGAATGAGAATCCCTTGTGCTGCCAAAGGAAAGATTATGACATCATTCAACCTAAAAACTTATTCCGGGAAAATCCAAACACCAATCTACAGGGATATTTAGACATTTAGGATGACCTGATACAGAACAGGATGCCCCATGAGTGAGCAGTCATTGCCTTCAAACTTACCCTTCAGCTGTCAAAAAAAAGGTAGCATTTATGCTCTTCATCTGCCTTTTTGTACAAGCTTCCAGTTCTGTACCCACATTTATATAAACAGGGTGAAAAAAGATGTTCAAGTATCCAGTGTGACAACCTAAAGATTATTATAACCATTATGTGTTCATAATAAAAAGCAAAATGAAATCAGGAGAGAAATTTGATTTGGGTAATATGACTGCCCATCTTATACGTTCAAACTCATACAGGAGTCATCTATATTCTGGATTCATCGTCCATAGGGTTTCAGATGTCAAGAACACCAGCACATAAAGACTGAAAGCACAACTGGGTAGGAAGAGGCAGGTAGCACAGATGCCAGACAAGATGATGCAATTTCCATGCTCTAAAACTTTCAGTGTCATGCAAAAAACAATGAATTCTATGACTAATTTAGAAGACGATAGTTAAAACAGGAGTAAGCATTTCATTTCTTTATCTGACAGAAAATCCAAGGCAGACATAATGGATTAATACATACAGATATAGTTTTTTGAAATTCCAGGTTTCCCTATAAGTGGTGTTTTGTAGATTATAAATATGCTTTTATAACACATCATTAAAATGTGCAGTCTTCCCAGTAAAAGTCATTCACTATATCTCCCTGTTTGTCAGGTTTAGAGGTCCCTATACAAATTGCATTTGCTTTATTGTAATTATTTGACACATCAAATTTTCATATATCTTGATTAAAGACAATCTTTTTTTGTTCTTCCTTATGTGAATCCTCATGCAGGTTTTGGAATTCATGAGCATGTCACAGAGATCAAAATATAGTTGGGAAAATGACTAGCTAGCAGCATGAGTCAGAGTCTAATGTTTGATGGCTTACATCAAAGAGATCATATGCAGGAATTCAGAAACACCTCATATTTTTCTCATGTTGTGATGTCTTCTACCAGCACCTACTCACTTACTGAAGAAATTATTGCAAAGCTCCCCCAGCTACCTGGTGTATAAGAAAAAAATCAAAGTCACATTCTCTTTGCCCTGCTATTATATTACGTCAGTCTACACAAGTATTTCAGAGCTAGACTTAAAAAAATTAAAATGCTGTTTGCTAACAGGAGTCTAGCTGTGAGTTTGTTTTGCAGGGCTTTGTTAAATCTATAGAACCACACAATCTGTCCTGTATATATAGCCTTTGATGTCTGTGTATCTCAGGCAGTATTCTTTCCTGGGTTGACTTGTAGCATTGGTGATTAAAAAAAGACACAATATGTTGTTAAAAGGAACATAGCCCATTCAGGATTTATGCACCAACAACATTTCAGCAACATGTGATACAGTCAAAAATGTTAAAATAGCCTTTCTATTTCACAAGGAAAGCAAGGATATTAGATTGATTCTGTTTCCATAACAGTACATCTTGATGCTATGGTTTTATTCCAGCTCAACCATTTGTCATATTTTTTCTCTCTTTCTCCTCCCCTAGGATGGGGTAGGAGAAGGGCAAGGGGGAAAAAGGAGGGGTGGAAGCAAATGCATTGGATTTGAGACGCTGAAAACTTGAATTAGAGTATCAAATTAGACAAAATATAAGGAGGGTGGGATGTTAGAACTTGCCAACTTGCTAATTGCTGCTTTCAAGGTTTAGTTCCAACAATGTAAGGCACTCTGAAATCTAAACAAGGAGATCTTAAAGAAGTCATCAGCAAGGTCAGAATGAACTGATGATGGGGTTTTCATTAGTTCTCTGCTGCAATGGCATTTTGCTATTTGTCATTGTCATTGTCCTCCCACCCCAAGCAGGCACAGAAAAAACAAAGCTCAGAGCTGTACTCACCAGCCTTGATGTGGACATCCTGACTTCTAATTTTCCCTGAAGGATTTTCAGCTGTGCAATAATAAGTATTATCATGGATTAAGGTACTGAAGCTTGAAGGAGGGAAGGGGAAAATTTGGAGAGTGCCGTTGGGGTGGACGTGGCGGATCCCGGGGACATCGTAGATCTCCTCGCCCGTGGCTAGGTACCATCTGAGAGTCACAGGAGGGATGCCTGCTGCGGGACAGGGCACCAGAGTCCCCGTGGTGCTGGCAAACACTACCTCTTGCAGAGATGCATTGACAAAGTAGAGGCTGGAGTGTAGGTCTTCACTGAAAACTGCAAGAAGACAACACGGGGATCCATGGGTAAGTAAAACATGCCTTTGACATTTGCAGTTCAATGTCTGGCCTCAGAAAGTTATCCTGAAAATTAATCATGAGGCTCAGGCTCAAATAAAACCAAATAACTCAAATTTTCTCAAAATGCTATGAGCAGACAGGCTGATACTAAAAAATAAGGCGCCATCCTAATTTCACATTTTGTGCACAAACTGTTAAGTTACCCTGGATGCTAATTTTTAAATAGATTGTTTTTTTGCCTCATGCTCCAAGCCCTGTTTAATAGATTGGTTTTTTGCCTCATGCTCCAAGCCCTGTTTAATAGATTGGTTTTTTGCCTCATGCTCCAAGCCCTGTTTTGTCCCCACACTGGCCATGATCAGACTGTGTATTATATAGCTTGTATTCACTTATTGTCTATCTTCTGCCACTAGAGATAAGCCTCATGAGGACAAGGTCTTGATTTACTCCCACTATTACCTGGAGCATAGCGCCCAGCTCTCACTGGGCTCTCAGTAAAGGGAAGCTGAATGTGTGAATGCCTAGATCTTGTTGCTGGGATCAAATTGCTCTCATTACTAGGTACACTGAGGGTTATTATGAAATAAAATTAGTCACATTTTTAATTAAAATTGAAAATCACATGTAAAGCATTTTATTATTTTTTATTATACTTTAAGTTGTGGGATACATGTGTAGTTTTGTTACATAGGTATACATGTGCCATGGTGGTTTGCTGCACCCATCGACCCATCATCTAGGTATTTCTCCTAATGCTATCCCTCCCCCAGCCCCCTACCCCCAACAAGCCCTGGTGTGTGATGTTCCCTTCCCTGTGTCCATGTGTTCTCATTCTTCAGCTCTTACTTATGAGTGAGAACATGCGGTGTTCGGTTTTCTGTTCTTGTGTTAGTTTGCTGAGAATGATGGTTTCTAGCTCGATCCATGTCCCTGCAAAGGACATGAACTCATCCTTTTTATGGGTGCATAGTATTCCATGGTGCATATGTGCCACATTTTATTTATCCAGTCTATCATTGATGGACATTTGGCTTGGTTCCACATGCTATTGTGAATAGTGCCGCAATAAATATACACGTGCATGTGTCTTTATAGAATGATTTACAATCCTTTGGGTATATACCCAGTAATGGGATTGCTGGGTCAAATGGTATTTCTGGTTCTAGATCCTTGAGGAATCGCCACACTGTCTTCCACAGTGGTTGAACTAATTTACACTCCCACCAACAGTGTTAAAGCATTCCTATTTCTCCACATCCTCTCCAGCATCTGTTGTTTCCAGACTTTTTAATGATAGCCATTCTAACTGGCGGGAGATGGTATCTCATTGTGGCTTTGATTTGCATTTCTCTAATGACCAGTGATGACGAGCTTTTTTTCATGTTTGTTGGCTGTGTAAATGTCTTCTTTTGAGAAGTTTCTCTTTGCCCACTTTTTGATGGGGTTGTCTTTTTCTTGTAAATTTGGGTTCTTTGTAGAGTAAACCATGTTAAAAAAAAACACCATTATCAGAAAATAGAATGTCAAATCAACAATGCACTTTTATTTAAAATAGGACATAACAATAAAGAGAATTCTGACAAAAGCATGACTCAACTCCACCAGCCTACAGTGTCTGTTTTGAGTTTTACATTTCCCTTCTGGTCCGCCTGCCTCCATGCCTTATCTATATAATTATATCATGTTAAAGTGTACATACATAAAAGGTACCATTTTTATAACTGTTTCATTCTCTTATACATCATCTACATAATTCCATGGTTCTATACAGACTTCACAAGTAAATATCAGTGAATGTACAATTTATGCATTTTTTTTTGTTTGTTTGAGACAGAGTCTTGCTCTGTCACCCAGGCTGGAGTGCAGTGGCTGGATCTCAGCTCACTGCAAGCTCCACCTCCCGGGTTTACGCCATTCTCCCGCCTCAGCCTCCCGAGTAGCTGGGACTACAGGCGCCCACCACCTCGACCGGCTAGTTTTTTGTATTTTTTAGTAGAGACGGGGTTTCACCGTGTTTGCCAGGATGGTCTCGATCTCCTGACCTTGTGATCCACCCGCCTCGGCCTTCCAAAGTGCTGGGATTACAGGCGTGAGCCACCACTCCCGGCCCAATTTATGCATATTCTTATGAACTGTTTTCCTGCTCTTTTCATTTACATTGTTTCTCCTTTCACTTCTACAAGTAAATATCAGCAAAAGTGTTCATACACATTTAGCTTTTTAATTCATTTAAGGGCCTAAACAAGGGTTTTCTGGAGTGTTGGTTATGTGAACAAATAAAACGTTACTTCCAGAATTTACAAGTTAAACAAAAGATTTATAAACATAATGAAGGCCTACTTGTCGCCCATCTGAGCTTCTCTGTGACTTTCTAAAGCAAGTATATAACTAGTTACATATTTGTAAGAGAGAAGAGAAGCCCCAGATATTTCAAATGAACTTCACTGGTCAGAGGTGAGAATAACATTTATTGGATGCTTCACAGTACTCCATACCAGACAATCTTATAACACTCGAGATGAACAACAGCTCTGCTAGGTAAACAAAGGCTCCACTTTGCAGACAATGACACGCAGATTCACAGGGCTGTCACTTGACCAAGGACACAGGATACAGTCACTTGAGCGAGACGCAGGGCTAGAAGGTGGCAGAACTAGATTCAGTCTTTCTGATGAAGGCTTCTGTGATTTATGTTTCCTCATCTTAGAACCAAATGTGGCATAACAGTCCCCCTCATTTGGGTGGGGATTAGAGGCAGCTCACTATAGAGTGGGTCTGTGGCCTGTGCCTCCAGACCTAGTCTTTCTCCACGGTATGGGGCTGAGGGGTTACAGGCTCCTGCTGTGTGCTGGGGTTGCTACTAAGTCTGTGAGATAAGATACATGTGGCCCTCACTTTGCCTGTAGTTAATTGATATGATTTGGTAAGAAAGAGATGAAGAAATTAACACTATTTACAAAGGTGATTGGACTCATCCTCTAATAATAAGATTTAGCCTGCTCACTAAATGTGAGGGTAGCAGGTAGTCCCCACCCTGCTGTTAGGAAGCACAGCATCCAGGCATTGGCACAAGGCTGGATAGATGTGGTTGACTCTACTCACAGCACATCCTTTCCTGCTGCCACTTGAAGTGGACACTGTGGGGCTCTCTCCATATTTCCCGTTTAGGGCCAATGCACCCTGCCCCACAGCAGGTCCTCTCTTGAGTCCCACACTGGGAACCAGCCCCACTTACAGGGAACTGCCTTGTCTGAGGCCTGCAGGGAATGACTGGTCAAAGGTGGCTACACAGGCCTGGCCCCCTCATGTTAAGGTGCAACAATGCTGAAGGTGCATCCCAGCTGAGACCGCTATTGCCAGAGCTTTGCAGAGGAGCTTCTCCCTCCATTCCTTCTGCCTTCCTCACATCCTTGCTGATGTGTCTGTTGAGAATACACTCCCAAGAGGCCTTCTGCGTGCAACTCTTCCTCTGAGCATCTCCCTTCAGATAACTCAACATGAGACAACAACTGAGGCTCTGCTAGTTACCCTCTACAACCGTGTCTTTCTGAGATGTTTTTCTATTTTAAATAAAATAATCAGAAAGTGCCAACTAACATCCCATATCAGCTCCCCAATACAGCATGAGCAATAAATAAAATACACCAAGATGGAAGAAAGTACTACATCTAGATTATCACTGGATTAAAACATTTTTACAAGCAATAATTATTACACTGAATAAGGCAATGACACAACTAAGACTTTCAGGCTGTTATGTTTTTGGGAACCCATTGAATCTGGACAGTGACAATGTGTAGTTTGTTTTATGAAAACATACTCATGTAAGAATCTAACATTTATCTATTATATAAACATTTTGATTTTTAAACTTCACATATTCAATGAGCTCACAGGCCTAAACCTAATGCCTAGCAAGCTGTGTGTGATTCGTAATTGTTAGTTGGTGCATTCACTGTCCCCATTTTTTCATTTTCCATCTCATAATTCACATAATATATCAAACTTCTGTTGATAATATAATGTAACCTTTCGAAGTATTTTTGGAATTTCTATTTCACAAAATTACATCTCTTTTAAGTAGATTGGAGTTAGTTTAGGAACTGACTGTTAGAAGTTGAGACAGAGAGAAAGAGAGAAGGTGGGAGGTACAGACGAAAGCCTTTAGCAGAGGTCCTGTTATAGAGAGATGCTTACAAATTGTGGCCCCCTTCCATTATGAACAGGAAAGCCTACATACTGATGTGAATTCTGCTCCCCTGTGAGAGCCACAGAGTATAGATGTCCCCAAAGTAGAGGGGCCCCTGAAAAGACCCTCTTTCTCCTTGATCAGGGCAAGTATCAAAAGCTATTGTCAATCTGTGCATCTCAAGAAGTGTCTTGTTCAACAATGCTAGAAATAACAACGTGGATGATATCACACTCGAAGACCAATACCTCCCTGGGGATGTTGGCCGATGATATCTACCTAAGAGGTCCACCACTGGGATGAGATCTGAGGATCACTCTGGCTGTTAGGCCATATATGGCACCAATGAAAACTCTTTCTTTTCTTTTTTTTTTTTCTTTTATTTATTTATTTATTTATTTATTTTATTATTATTATACTTTAACTTCTAGGGTACATGTGCATAACATGCAGGTTTGTTACATATGTATACTTGTGCCATGTTGGCGTGCTGCACCCATCAACTCGTCATTTACATCAGGTATAACTCCCAATGCAATCCCTCCCCCCTCCCCCCTCCCCATGATAGGCCCCAGTGTGTGATGTTCCCCTTCCCGAGTCCAAGTGATCTCATTGTTCAGTTCCCACCTGTGAGTGAGAACATGCGGTGTTTGGTTTTCTGTTCTTGTGATAGTTTGCTAAGAATGATGGTTTCCAGCTGCATCCATGTCCCTACAAAGGACACAAACTCATCCTTTTTTATGGCTGCATAGTATTCCATGGTGTATATGTGCCACATTTTCTTAATC